AGACCCTTCAGTCCACAGGCCAATGCTCCATCCACTGAGCCAAACCTGCTGGGGCTCAAATGCCTGTTTTTGAACTAATCACCAGCAAGTAAGTAAAGGACTCTGCTGATCGGCTGATGCTAATGAGGGCCTGAGTGTGTGGCTGAGAATAGAGGGTTTGTTTATGAATGAGAGCCAGGGGCTGTTGCCAGACAAGGAGAAATGTGCATGGAGTTGGGGTGGGGGTGACATGGATCCACTGCAGCATGGCCTTGGAGAAAGATGTCTTATTTCCTGGTGCCTCAGTTTCCTCATCTGTGGGGCTAAAAGCAGTGTCTCTTCTTGTGAGAACTGAGGAGCGTCCTAGGCGTGGGAGACTTGGAGCAGTGCTCAGAACATGCTGGTTGTCATTATTCCGCCCAGAGAGAAGGGTGTGAGAGGAAATGCGATAGAAATTTTCTGAACTTCCAAAGCTTGTGGGCCAAGCTGATGTGGACTTGTTCCCCAGATCCTGAATGTCAGGGCTGGTTGGGGGATGGGGGGGGGGGTGTCGTTGTAGACGGTGACTGTGGTGTCCTGTGAAGAGAAGGCTCTGTCAGGGGAGTCTGGGGGTGCACTTTCTATTGACAAGCCCTGAGCCAGGCCCCCCGGAGTGCAGTGCCTGGGCCAACACTGGGGACTGTTTCCTGGACTCACATTTTCTGGGCTGAATTTCATTTCCTGGCGGCTGAGGGAGGACAGAATCAGAGCAGAAGTTCCATCAGCCTGGGGTTTGGGGTAGAAAGTGGATAGCAGACCCTTCCTTAAGCCTTATAGTAAGGTCTTCAGCCTTTGCTTCCCTTCCCCCCTCTTCCCCCGCCCCGTCCCCGGAAGCACCGAACAGAGGGGGCCACACTGCTTGTCTCCGGGAGTTTGGACAGTGGAGACATCCAGGTCCGAGCCAGCGAGGGACACGCAGAAGGTCCCCAGCACTCTTATCTTTGCTGCTGTGACAGTTGTGGTCAGGGCGCCGTTGGCTGGGTAGGAGCAGCGACAGGCCTTGTGGGGGCTGGGGGTGGGACAGCCTGCGCTGGCTGCCTTCTGCAGCAGTGAAAGTTCACGTTCACAATCTGTTTCCCCTTTTCATGCTCCCCCTTCCTTTCTGGCTCCATCTCCGCCCTCTGGGTCAAGGGTGGGCATCCGGCTTTGAACAGGAAGCTGCCCTCTGAAGAGTAACCGCCTTCCTTTGCTAAGCATTTCTCTGATTCCCTCCTTCCTTAGATCCCCCGATTTCCTCTTGCTCACTTTTTTTTTTTTTTAAGGACATATACTATAATGTTTTTATTTTATTTTTTAGTTTTATTTTTTTAATATATTTTAAAAAATTTTTTTGCCCCCTCCCTCCCTCCCACCCATCCCCTCCCTCCCCAGAGTTTTATGTCTATTGGTTGTACTTATATGCATGTATAAAAGTCCTTCGGTTGATCTATTATCTCCCCCAGATCTTCCTCCCCTCCCCGCTGTAATTTGACAGTCTGCTTGTTGATTTATTGTCTCTATATCTATATTTTGGTTCATCAGTTTATAATGTTCTTTATTATCCACATATGAGTGAGGTCATGTGGTGTTTCTCTTTCATTGATTGGCTTATTTCACTCAGCATGATGTTCTCCAATTCCATCCAGGTTGCTGCAAATGATGAGAATTCCTTCTTTTTTATGGCAGCATAGTATTCCATTGTGTAGATGTACCATAGTTTTTGGATCCAATCATCTGCTGACGGACACCTAGGCTGTTTCCAAATTCTGGCTATTGTAGATTGTGCTGCTGTGAACGTAGGGGTGCATATATCCTTTCTGATTGGTGTTTCTAGTTTCTTGGGATATATTCCTAGAAGTGGGATTACTGGGTCAAATGCGAGTTCCATTTTCAGTTTTTTGCCTCTTGCTCACTTCTTAACTTCAGCTCTTCTTTGTCCTTTAAGCTTGCTGACTGGGCAATGCTTTGGGGAGTAGTGGTGACTGTTACTAATTATTAGTATCTGCTACTTATAGTTAAGTGACCTGCCCAGGTTCACTAAGGTCAGGGCCTAAATTTTAATCCCTATTCACTTGACCAGAAAGCCAGGGATCAGTGCTAGGTTGTGCTTGGATGGATCGTTATGTTTTAAAAAGTAAAGTAGGAAGTAATGCCTGGAGGTGGGGCATGGCCTGGCCACTTGTTTACTTAATAACCCTGGGGCCTGCTGGGTAGCAGGATAGTAGTCACAGATAATTACAGGGACCTGAGGTCCCTCTTCCTTCCTCTCTGTCTAAAAATCAGTAAAATGTATATATATTTTTAAAGATAAGTACAAAGAGAGAGAGAGATGGATGGATGTGTGGGTGTTTGTGTGATGGGTAGATGAATAAATGGATGGATGGATGTGGTGGTGTGTGGCTGAGAGGTGGAATGGTAGGTAGATGGGTGGATGGATAGACAGGTAGACGGATGGATAAGTTGGTACATGGATAGTTGGGTAGATGTATGGATGGATAGACTAGTGGGTAGATTGATGGATGGATGGATGGATGGATGGATGGGTGGGTTTACAAATGAGTGGGTAGATATATCAACAATTGCATACATGGATATATAAATGGGTAATATAACTTTAGCTGCAGTGGGGAGGCCCTAGTGGGGCCAGGATGGGCTGGAAATAGGTAATGGTTAGGAAGATAATTGAAATAGTTCAGACAAGGAATAATTAAGGCAAGAATTAGGCTACTGAAATGTCTCACACATGAACCGAGCTTGTATACATAACTGTATATAGTAGGTCCCAGCAGTATTTCCTTATTAAAAGGGCAAATTCCTGTGGAATGAGCTTTTCCTGGCAATTGCTCAGAAACTGTTCTGTATAAAATAACCACAAACACTGAATCCTTTTTTTTCACCATCATCTTAAGAATTACAAGTGGTGTGAAACCAGTTAAAATAAAACCAGTCTTTGATTTAAGTCACTCATATGATCAAATTTCAAATGCCCAAGTTCATAAAGGCATGACCGTTGTCCTAAGGATTTCTTTGTGTTAAGAAGTTGCCTAGCTAAATACCTTTGTGTGTGCTAATCACTTAAAGTTTACATTTCATTGATTGCTTGTTTTTGGTTCTGGAAAAAACAAACAAACCATTTATATCATAGTATCATTTATCAATTATATATCTGAAGAACCAGTTTAGGTACTTGTTTAAATATTTAGATCTCTCTTTTTTAAGTCAGATTCTTTATCTTTACCATTTTAAAGTGTATGCTTCAGTTGTGTTACATATACTCACCTTGTTGGACATAACTAGGTCTCTTTATTGAAACACTTGGAACATAAATATTTTTATCACTTTCTCTTCACATTCGTTGATGTGCCTTTAAAATTTGGACAGAGCTGTGAGGTTTCAGGTTCCTTGGAGTTCCTTGGTGATCTTACTGTGGGAGGCTGGAATCAGATATCTGGAGAGAACATCGTGCAGTGGTAGACAGAGGGACCGAGGAGGAATGTGGGCTGCATGGAGACTGTGGCCACTTGGAACACATGGGCCCTATCCCAAGACTGGCTACTCCCCAGCTCTTGCTGGTGGTTCTGAAGCAGAAATATGGGCTCAGGGCTGCCATATTTTCTGATTTTTTTTTTTTTAAGAGTAGCCAGAAATCTCAATTTTTGTATGAAGTTTTCTGATTTGAAACATTGGCAGTTAACCTAAATTATAAAAAATATGCTTAAAACAACAATAAGAATAAACCATCTGTGGCTCAAATTGGCCTGAAGGCCACCTGTTTCAGACCTCTTAAGTTTATCTGATGTAATTAAAGTAGGGATAGAAAATTGAGACCCCCAAATAAGGTAATAACTTTTCCGGGGTTGTGTAACTGGTCAGTGGTCAGATGAGGATTTGAACTAAATTGATTATTACTGAAGACTGACAGTGGATTGATCTTTATTCTTGGGCAGATATACTTGATCTATATATGAATATATCTATCTGGTATGTCTCTTTAATAACATATAGGTGGTTTCTTGAAAAAAATGAAAGTATTTACAACAAACTTGTTATCAAGGATGGCTAGCTTAGTCATTAAATGCAGGGACCCAGAACTAAATTGCGTGAGTTTAAATTTCACCACAGATCTTTCCAGCTGTGTGATATTATTAATAGACAGTTTTCCTATCTGAAAAAGGAGAGATAAAGTACTTACAGAATTAAAGGGGATAGTACATATGATGTAACTTAAAATAGGGCCTCGCACAATTTAGGTGATTTCAGTGATGATGATGATGATAGTGCTGATGAAAGTGATTGTGATAGTAATGATGATAATGATAGTAATGATGGTGAAGAAAATGATAACAGTGAGGGTGAGGAAGATTAGAAAGTCCTCAATTCACAATAGTAAAGTAGGAATGATTCATGTGACTAACGGACTCCTCTGTTTACAGGGAAATACCCCTGGAAGATTCCTTTAAATGAATGTCTCCATCTTTGTACACCAATGGAAATTGCCAAAGTTCCTAGGAACTTGTGCAATGAGGCATACCTTTATTCCTGATCCCTTTTTTCATAGTCTTTCTGGCTACCGAACTCTCCAGGCTGCATATTCTGCCTGAGAGGGCTTTAGGAGCAGGGGTCTTGTTTGTTTTTCTTGAACCCATTACAGCTGTTTTTTTTTTTTTTTTTTTTTAAAGTACTTTTATTGATTTTTAGAGAGAGAGAGGAAGGAAAGAGGGAGGGAGAGATAGAGAGAGGAAGAAGGAGAGAGAAACATTGATGTGAGAGAGAAATAAAATATCGATCAGGTGCCTCCTGCACACTCCACTACTGGGCATTGAGACTGCAACCTGGGTGTGTGTCCTGACTGGGAATCAAACCAGCAACCTTTCAGTACACAGGACAACACCCAACCAACCGAGCCATCCTGAGCCAGGGTGACAACTAGTTTTGAATTACACACCAGCCCCCATGACTCGTTGGCACATCCCATGGACCTGTGCTTGTGTGTGTTTCTACAGGACTGGAACATCACGTGGCACACCAGCAACCCCGACTTCACCAAGTGCTTTCAGAACACCGTCCTTGTGTGGGTGCCTTGTTTTTACCTCTGGGCCACCTTCCCCTTCTACTTCCTCTATCTTTCCCACCATGACCGGGGCTACATTCAGATGACACATCTCAACAAAACCAAAACTGTAAGTCATCATGGGGAAAGAAGGGTATTCCTGGGTGGGGAGTAGTAATTGGTGAAAACTAATATGTTTCTTCTACTTCATTGGCCCTGAGTTCCTTTTTCTCGAAGACAGAACAATGATGTGGTAGGTAAGGCTGGGGCCCTGCATTCAGACATGGGTTCACTTATCATCTCTGTCCCTTACTAGCTGTAGGACCTTGAGCACATTTCTTAATCTCCCTGAGGCTGCGCCACTGGGCCCCACAGAACACCTGCGATATTAGGCAACTCTACCAGGACTGGGAGATAAAGAAGATCTACCTAACGCATAGAAACAAACACAGATAGGCAAACAGTATGGTGAGACAAAGAAACATGCCCCAACAGAAAGAACAGGAGAAATCTTCAGAAAAAAAGAAGTAAATGGAATTTGAAGGCAAGCAATCGGATACAGAGTTTAAAACAATAGTTATGTGGTTGCTCAAGGAACTTAATGAGAACCTCGGCAGCATTAAAAAGGACATAGAAACCATAAAAAAGAACCCGTCAGAAATGAAGAATACAATAATTGAAGTGAAGGATACACTAGAAGGAGTCAACAACAGATTTGATGAAAGAGAAGATCAAATCAGTCATTTAGAAGACAAGGTAGCAGAAGACATCCAATCAGAACAACAAAAAAGGTATTGTGAAAAATGAGGACAGTTTAAGGCTTTTCAGGGACAATATCGAGTATTGAGAAGAGAGAGCAAGGAATTGAGAACCTATTTGAAGAAATAATGAAAATTCTTTCTTCACCTGGTGAAGGCAAAATACACACAAGTCCAGGAAGTGCAGAAAGTTCCACAAAAAGGCCCATATCAAGACACATCATAATTAAAATGGCAAAGATTAAAGACAAAGAGAGAATCTTAAAAGCAGCAAGAAAAAAGCAGTTAGTTACCTACAAGAGAGCTCCCATAAGAGTGTCAGCTGATTTCTCAAGAGAAACTTGGCAGGCCAGAAGGGATTGGCACAAAATATGCAAAGTGATGAAAAGTAAGGGCCCAAAACCCAAGATACTCGACCCAGCAAAGCTATCATTTAGAACCAAAGGACAGATAAAGAACCTCTCAGATTAAAAAAAAAAAAAAAAAGAGTTCATCACCACTAAACCAGTATTATAAGAAATGTTAAAAGTTCTTCTTTAAGAAGAAGAAAAAAGAAAGATAATATGAATAATAAATTGGCAACATATTTCTATCAATAATTACTTTAAATGCAAATGGATTAAATGCTTCAATCAAAAGACATACAGTGGCTAAGTGCATAACAAAACAAAACCCTTGCATATGCTATCTACAGTAGACTCACTTCAGATCTAAAGATACTCACAAACTGAAAGTAAAGGGATAGAAAAAGAAACTTCATGAAAATGGAAAAAAAAAAAAAAAAGCGGGAATAGCAATACTTATACCAGACAAAATAGACTTTTAAAACAAAGGCTTTAGGCAGCACCGTCTGCCATGGCGCCCGGACTGTTAGGTTTGTGCGCTCGCTGCCTTTTGGCAGCGGCAACGACCCGAGAGCGCCTGGCAGCCGGGTTCGTTGGGAATCCAGCTCTGCTAGGGCTGTGATCGCTCCGTCCATCGCAGTGGCGAAGCGGGAGCCGGAACCGAGCGTGCACTGGCAGGAGGACCCAGAATCTGAGGATGAAAACCTTTCTGAGAAGAACCCTGACTCTCCTGGCTACGACAGGGACCGTTTTGGATGTCTGGAACATGCGGGTCATCTTCTTCTTTGGCTTCTCCATCGTCTTGGTCTTCGGCACCACCTTTGTGGCTTATCTGCCTGACTACAGGATTCAGGAGTGGGCCCGCCGGGAAGCTGAAAAGCTTGTAAAATACCAAGAGGCCACTGGTCTTCCCATCATGGAATCTAACTGTTTTGACCCCAGCAAGATCCCCAGTGGACTTCAAGAAGCACCACCTTTTCTATCCTCTGCCTGCCATTCTGCCCTTTCCACAGAGCACCTTATTAAAGGAACTGGAAAATCTGAAAAAACACACAAAACCAAAACACACACACACACACACACACACACACACACACAAAGGCTATAACAAGAGACAAAGAAGGACCCAGCAGTTCTACTTCAGGATATTTATCCAAAGAAACCCCAAACATTAAACCAAAAAGACATTTACATTCAAATATGTAAATATTTCTCTCTCCTCCATGTCCAGTGCAGCTAGAGAGTAGTCCAGTTCCAAAGTAGGGGCTGCTGGGGATTAAGAAAATGAAAGAAAGAGACAGATACAGAGATGAAGAAAAAAGCTGGGGCCGGGTGGGACCACTGTTCTCCAATGGAGAGACAGGGACCCAGAACCAATACAGCGTGTTTATTTTATACAGCAAAAGCCAGGAAGTTTTACTAAAGGTCAAGACAAAGGAGATGATGTGCATTCTTGAGTAGTAGTCATTCCAGGTGCTTGGCTAGATTTAGATAACGAAACCCACCCCCTGGCACCTGGGCTGAAGGTCAAGCTGACAACACTCCTGCCTCTGGCAAGGTGTGTCTCCAGGACCTGGCTCTGCCAATGCCACTGGATTCAGCTGACAATAATTAAAGAAACGCTCATGTGCCTTCCAGACACTCTCGACAATATGTTCATTGCAGCATTATTTACAACTAGAGGTCTGGTGCACAGATTCTTATACCGGTGGGGTCCCTTGGTCTGGCCTGCGCCCTTGTGCAATCTGGGACCCCTCAGGGGATGTTGGAGAGCTGGTTTCAGCCTGATCCCTGAAGGCTAGGCTGAGGGACCCCATTCGTGCACCGAAACATCGATTGGCTGCCTCCTGCACACATCCTGACCCGGGATCGAACTGGCGACCTTTCAGTGCATGGGACGGAGCTCAACCAACTGAGCCACCCAGGCTAGGGCTCTGAATTTGATATGCAAGATTATTCATTTTACAGTTTCTGAAATCAGCTGTTCAAAAGGTAAATTCTGACACCATGATTGATGTAGCAAAGGAATACATCAAAACAAAGAAAAACTTCAAATACTGACATTTGAAAGACACATTTGTAAAATATGCTACTTATTAAATATACTTGAACAAAGTATATGTGGAATGAGTTCCATTCATCATGGAGTTAGTTTCTGCTAAACACTCACTGACACTAGAGGAAACCTCTGGCATCTGAGCACTTGTTTTCAAGAGTTCCCAGTCTGTGCTAAAAAAAAATGAAACATGACAAATAATTTCTGAGGCACCGATTTGAACCTCGTAAGTGGAAGGGCCAGTATGTAGGGCAAATTATCCCGGAGTCAGAAAGCTGGCGCCTGCAACTTAGTGTGACTTTGCCTGAGTATCATCAGGGATGCAATAAAAGGCTCATTTAAATTTTATAATTACCCTTCTCAGAAATATTTTAAAGCTACATTACCCAAGGCTCATTTCCACAAACCCTTGGTAAACAGGAAAACTTGAATGATTTTACTGACGCTGCCTGTCCCTTTGCTTGTGTCACCGTTTAAACCTGTCTCCTTCATACTGCCCTTCAAACCTGTCTCAACATGCAGTCTGTTCCCCTGACCTGAGCCAGATCTAATGTCTTCTTCTTCCTCTGGGAGCAGCTCGTACCTCTACTATTTGCCTTTAAAACGTGAGTCTGATTTTGTCCTTGCCTTGTTCAAAAATCTTCTGGCAAGGCCTCCTGGCAGTGAATAAGATCCAGAAGTGCTCACAGCTCCTCAGCAGCCGTCTCTGCGATGCCCATCGCTCCTTCCACAGTAGGCATAACCCCCTGGTCATGCTCCCACACCAGGCATGAGCTGTTCTCTCCGCCTGACTTGTTCTTTCCCTTAATTGTTCAATGTTGGCTCTTCACTCAGATGTCACCTGATTTGAGAGGTCTTCCCTCACCTGTTTTGTTTTTCCTCATATCGCTTACTGCTTTCTGGCTTTATAATACGTATTTTTCAGCCGTAACCGGTTTGGCTCAGTGGCTAGAGTGTTGGCCTGCGGACTGAAGGGTCCCAGGTTCGATTCCGATCAAGGGCATGTACCTTGGTTGCAGGCACATCCCCAGTAGGGGCGTGCAGGAGACAGCTGATACATGTTTATTTCTCATTGATGTTCCTAGCTCTCTATCCCTCTCCCTTCCTCTCTGCATAAAATCAATAAAATATATTTTAAAAAATATGTATTTTTCAGTTTGTTTCTTACTTGTTTCCATTCTATTAGAATCTCGGCTCCATGAAGGTAGGCACTTGTGTCTCTTTTGTTCCCTTTTGGATCCTTGACACCTTGAAAAGTATGTGGCCCATTGCAAGCCCCCGATAAATTTTGATTGGATGAGTGGTTATTGTGAGAGAGGCCTTATGCAAGCTGCTGGCGTTGCCAATATCGGTAACTTTTAAACTGAGTTCTTGAGTTTTCAAGTGCTGGGGTGACTAGTCACCAGACAGATTAAGTCATGCCAGGGGCGCCTGAGGGGATAGTATCCTGGTCACAGAGCAGATGGGAGAGCCGCGGTGGCTCACCCTACCTGGCACTTGTGTGTGTTCCAGAGGATGTGTGCTGTGTTCAGGGACCATAGCTGATGGTGTAGGAGTTGGCTGGTCCCCGAGGCTGAGCTGGGAAGTTCCGGTGCTGTCCGTAGTAAGACTGTTCTCTTCTCTTCCAGGCCTTGGGGTTTCTGCTGTGGATTGTCTGCTGGGCAGACCTCTTCTACTCTTTCTGGGAAAGAAATTGGGGCAACTTCCCGGCCCCGGTGTTTCTGGTCAGCCCAACCCTCTTGGGCATCACCATGGTAAGTAGGAGCTGGCTGTCCACCAGGCAGTGTGGAGATCAAAAGCAGTGATGTGAAGATCTCACAGTAAAAATCCAGAAATCTGGCTTCTCTCAAAAAACTCAAAGACCCGGCAGCACTAGACTCATAGTCTTCTGGGGCAGCAGTCGGCTGGAGCTAAGAGGTGACTGCAGCCTTTCTGTGGGGCAAGCTTGGCCTGGTTTGTTATATTATATAACACATGCACACGCACACGCACACGCACACGCACACGTGCCATTTGCCCTCTCTGCGCCTGAGGCTGAGTGCAGGTGCCGTCCTGTGCTGTACTTGCTGTCCTCTCTACGTGCACTGGCCAGCTCATCACTTACAGCAGGTGCCTGGGACCTAAGCTCTTAGGCTCTGGCACAAGGAGTGGAGGCCAAGTTGAACGAGAGACCGCCCTGCCCCATGTGGGTCCCTCGTTCAGTGGGAACCGCTGTATCACTGCTTTGTTGTATCTGATTCTCAGAACAGCCCCGTGAGATGGGCCCTGCTAAAGGTTACACAGCCAATGCGGGGTCAAGCAAGGGGTGGTCACTCAGAGGCCATGCTTTTAGTCCTTGCATTCCACAGAGACATGCTCTGAATGAAGGCTGTTTCTACAAGGTACCATGTCCCTCGGGTCCTCTGAGAGCTGGAAAGTCCTTGGCAAGCATGCCCTGGAGTGTTGCAGAGTGAGGAGGGAGCGAGTTCGGGGCGGGATGTTTTGAGCAGAGAGAACAGTATGTCCAAGGGAGGGCTGGGGGTCAAAAGGGAGCATAGGGAGGAGGAGGATGAGCCTTTCTTGAAGCAAGAAGGTTGCGTGGGGGTTCTGGAGGGAAGACCAAGGGCGGGGAATGTCTGGTCCAGGGCCATGGAGACCCGTGAAGTCATTTGGTCTGGCCCTACCAAGGCAACTGCCGGCGGGACTCAAACTTCAGTAAACCTAGGAGCTTTATTCATAGCCACGTAAATTTACATTCAGTGAATTATATTAAGCAGATGATGTTATACATTCCAAATGGCTCTTGGAAGAAAAAAGGTTCCCCACCCCTGTGGTAGACAGTGAATGCGACAGAAGGGGGGTCAAGAAAGGCAAGTTGGGCCAAAGCCGGTTTGGCTCAATGGATAGAGCGTCGGTTTGGGGACTGAAGGGTCCCCGGTTCGATTCCGGTCAAGGGCATGTACCTTGGTTGCGGGCACATCCCCAGTAGGGGGTGTGCAGGAGGCAGCTGATCGATGTTTCTAACTCTCTATCTCTCTCCCTTCCTCTCTGTAAAAAAAATCAATAAAATATATTACAAAAAACCCCCACACGTATATTAATTAAAAAAAAACACAAAGGTAAGTAGGAGCCAAGTTGTGAAGGGCCAGGATTCTTTAAGGAACTGGTTAGCAGTGTGTGCTCTGCCCCAGGCACTGCCCTAACCCCTTTGCATGATGATTTATTTCAGTATGTTGGCTCATTAGTACCATTTTGTAGATAAGCAAGTTGAGGCACAGGTAGGAGAGGGAGAACTGGCCCAAGGTCACAGCCAATAGGCAGGAGAGCCGCTTCACTGGCAGGCTGTCTGGCTCCGGTGTGTTGGTGGGCTCTTTGTTGGTGGTGCTTCTGCAGGGCTTTGCTGTCCTTTGTGCCCCCAGAGCATGGCACTGTGCTCGACATGCAGTAAGCACTCCACAGGCATACTGAGGGAATGGGGGAATGAAGGACGTGGTTTTGTTGGCCTGGAGGTCTTGACCTCTATCTACATTTTGGCAGAGGAGAGTCAAGTTGGATTAGTTTGGGCTGGGATAACTCAGATTCCCTTAACTCTCCCTGCTCCTGGTCTTTTGGTTCTTCACCCAGATCTTTGTCTGTGATACTGGGCACACAGGTATTATGGGGTGAGGGTCACTGGGCTTTGTCTCCCCCAGGGCTCTGAGCTGGGCTGGCCAGGAGGTGAACTGGCCTGTGAAATGCTCAGTCTCTCTCCTCAGGGCTCCGGGAGTGAAGGACCAGCCCTGCTCTTCCCGTTGCAGGAACATTCTCCTGCCATGCCCGGGATCGGGATATGCAGGCACCCGGAGAATGGGATGCGAGGCAGCCAGCAAATGTTTTTTATTCCTAAATTGGACCAGGAGTTGAAGTTAAAACTGAGGCAGACCCTGTTGTCATGGAGTGTACAGCCCAGCTGAGGAAATGGACATTCAGCAAATAATTCCTCAGAAGGCACAAAATACTTACCTGTGTGCAGATTGCTGTGCGAGTGAAGTTAGGTGAACTGGTTTGGTCTGGAGGGTGGGGAGGAAGGGTGACGGAGCTGAGGCCTGAAGGATGAGCAGGATGTTAAAAAGTTGAAGGGGCCACAGGCAGAGGAACACCATTGGCGAGAATAGCACATGCAAAAGTCCTGGGCTCGGAGGGAGAAATTGAGAGTTGGCCTGTGTGGCTGGGGTGGAGAGGTCGAGGAAGAGGAAGAGAGCTGGGATGGCAGAGGCCTGCCCCTGTGAGGACCTTAAGTGATTTTTTTTTTTTTTTTAATTTCCACTCTCAACACTGGGTTCTAAACCTTTATGGACCCCTTTCTCTTTTTTCAGTCTACTCTCCTTCTCAGTGTATATATTTGAAGGTTCTATGCTGTACATTATATTCTTATTGATAAATTTAGACTGTCTGATGACTGCCACTTCCACAATATAGACAGCAGTCCATCACCCTAAATGCTCTCTCGTGCTGCCCCTCTGCAGCCAGCCTCTGCCTCACCCCTTTCCCAGGAACCACTGACATGGTGTCTGTTCCCGTTGCTCAAAGAGGTTTGGCAGCTTGCTCAGGGTCACCCAGCAGGGTCAGAGGAGAGCCGAGTCCTCCCCCAGGCTGTTCTTGTACCCCTGGGCTAAGGGCCGCCCCACTTGAGGCCTAGTGTCTGCTGGCCCCTGGACTCGGGGGGCCTTGGGGACCTCAGCAGCTTTGGGGCCCTGGCCTTCTCCTGACGGCTTCTGTTGTGTGCTTCTCTCTTCCAGCTGCTTGCTACCTTTATAATTCAGCTCGAGAGAAGGAAGGGAATCCAGTCCTCAGGGATCATGCTCACATTCTGGCTTATAGCCCTCCTATGTGCCCTTGTCATCTTGAGATCCAAAATCATGACTGCCTTAAAAGAGGTAAGTGTGGCCTCACTCCGCATCTTCCGGGGTGGCTCTTGGGAGAGGTGCCTGTTCCTTTTGGATGGTGTGGAAAGCACGGCTGGCCGTGGGAACCCGGAGATGGGCACCACATGGGCCCGGCTTCTTCCCTAGGGATTTCCCTACCTCATCCAGCCTTTGTTCTAGAACCTTCTTTCCTCACGGCCCCGCTTGTCTGTGTAGCTCCGAGTAGCCCATGTGGGTCCTCCAGGGGCAGGAGCCTGGGCTGATGCACACCGCCCTGTGAGCCTCTGTCAGCAGCACACAGATGTCTTCGGTCTGGAAGGGAGCCGAGCAGGGAGCAGTGTTTGCAGAGTATCCGCACCCCCAGGCCTCCCCCCCCCCCCCCATTGCCCCCAGGTTACCTTGGCGTCATCAGCTGCTGGTCTGGCTGAAAAGTGGTTCGTGTTGGCTGCCATATGCCGCCCCTGGGATTCTGGAGAGTCTGTGCTTTCAGACTCTCCTGTTGTCCCCGCCCTCTCCGAGCTAATGAGCTAATCAGGAACTGGCATCAGGCAAAGGAAGGGAGGGAAACGGGACATTTATTGATCACCTGTACAGTACCCTGTCTTTAACAGTGATGGCAGCTGACAGTTACTGAATTCCTGTTTGCAAAGTGCCAGGCGGAGGGCGGAGTTCTTTCCACAAATACTCTCACTGACTTCTCACAATCACTTGGCCAGGCTTTCTCGGCCCCAGCACTAGTGGACGGGTGGGCCAGAGCCGTCTTTGCTGTGGAGGGGCTGTCCCATACTCGGTCGGATGTGAGGGGCCTCCTGGGCTTCCTCTCACTGGGTGCCAGCTGCACCTCCCAAGTGTGACAGACAGACATGACTCCACACCCTGCCCAGTGTGCCCTGGGAGGTAAAGTCACCCCCGGTTGAGGACCTCAGGTCTGTTTATATTGTAGATGGGGAAACCGAGGCACAGAGAGGTTTAGGTAAGCCGACCAAGTCCCACAGCCAGTGTGAGCAGAGGAAGGACCTGAACGTGGGTCTGCTTCACTCCCGAGCCCGGGCCCCCTCCCACCGTGGGGGCCGCCCTCCCAGGTGATACAGCCACCCTCCGATGGAACGGCCTCTCTTGTGTTAATGTGCAGGGGATGGGAGGGAGGGGTGGGTAAGCTACTTCTGGAAAGTGATGGTCTCCCTCCTCCTTCCCTCACGTTCAGGATACCACCGTCGACGTGTTTCGGGACGTCACGTTCTACATTTACTCCTTCCTCGTGCTGATTCAGCTCGTGCTGTCCTGCTTCTCAGACCGCTCGCCCCTGTTCTCAGAAACCATCAACGACCCTGTAAGTGCGATCACGGATGTGTTCGAGAAGCATTGCACAAGGTGGCTCATGTTGATCGGACACTTGTTCTGAGCCAGGATCCTCCACCTGGGATCTCATTCCACCTTCCCCAAATGCCTGGAGATGGGTTATATCGTCCTCCCGCTTGCCGTGGCAGAGCGGAGCCATGGGCTGGGGTGGGAGAGCCTGAGCAGGGAATCTGATTCCTAGTGGAAATTGCTGTGTCTTGCAGGCCTGGAGGGTTTCCTCATTGGTTGGCATAGTGATTTTAGGACCCGTGAGCAAACATTTAAAAATCGGGACGTTCCACATAAATTCTAAGTGTCCGAGCTTTCTATGAAAAATGAGAAGTTCAGGCGGGGTCAGGGCCATTAGTGCACATGGCAGCAGCTGGCCAGAGGGGGTTGCCTTAGTTTACCGCAGTCCCCACCACTCCCCATTGCATTGCACAGTCTTGCTTCTTTCATCTGGGTACGTGCGTGGCCCCTGAGGGATTTGAGTTTGAGACCCTTGGTCTGTCCTGCCAGTTTGAGGGAAATTCTGTGTGTGCAGAGAGAAATCTTTGGGCCGCTCTTCCTGCTGGGGGAATACAGGGAGCATAGTAATTTGTCACCCTTGCCTCTCTTCTTCCTTCCTCCCCTCCTTCCCTCCTCCTCCTTGTCTTTCTTGCCCTCCCCCCCCCCCCCCTTTCTCCTTTCTTTCCCTGTCTTCCTTCCACCATTCTAGCCATTGCTGAAGGCCAGGCCATGAAATGGGCACAGGGCTGTAGCAGTGAATAAAGCAGAGATCTTGTCCACGTGAGGCTTAGCTTGTCACGGATGGGGACACACAGTAACCCAGGACCCACATGTCTGGCAGGTGGTGGTACATGCTAAGAGGAAGAAAGCAGGGAAAGGAAATGGAGATGATGGTGGGGGGCCGTGTGCAGTGTTTGGTGAGCGATCATGGGAGGCCTCCCCCAAGAAAGCACACCGGAGCGGAAACCTACAGAAGTGGAGGAGCCAACATAGCAAATCCTCAGAGAAAGAGGATCCCAGGCAGAGTGGTGGCAGGTGCCAAGGCCCTGGGGCAGGAGCCCCTGTGGAATGCTGAGAGAAGAGCAGGAGAGGCCAGCCTGGCGGAAGCATCAGGCAGGCAGGGGCTGAGGGTGGCAGTGGAGAGGGAGGCCAGATGAGCTGTGCGGATTTTATTCTGAGAGGGACAGGAAGCCTCTGGAGCATTTATTTGATGCTTTGTTAGTGGCTAGTCGGTTGCTAACGGGTGAAATTGCAGCAGGAGCAGTTTTCAGCTGCTGCACTAGTACATCTGTTGGGTGCGGCCTGAAGCTCAGCAAAAGGCTGAGGCTGCCTTTGTCAGCAGTGAAGGGACGTGTGGGGCAGCACACGAGGAGGAGGCGGAAGCCTGTGTCCCGAAAGGCCCCGTTCTTGGATTTCCCTGCTCAAGGAGGAACTGAGTTGGAGAAATGAACAGATTGTGTGTGTATGCAAACACGTCTGTGTGCGTGTACGTGTTCGCATATGTGTCGGAATAAAATCCACACAGCTCATCTGTTTATAGGTATATATATTTTCATTTCTATGTTCAAGTTTTGCATGTAGATGTATGTTGGAGTGTTTGCATGTATGGATGTGTTAGTATATTCGTGTACATGTGTGTTTTCCTGTGTTCAAGGTTCACGAAGGCAGTAGCCATGCCTGTAGCACCCATTGGATCCTGGCCCACGCCCGGCACAAAGGAGGGCTCAGGTGTCTGTGGCGATTGTGTCCGCTGGTCCTCAGAGTTTGTGTGTATGCGGATGGATGTGGATGTGGATGTATGGCAGTGGAGTGTCCCCGTCTGGAAACACTAATTGTCAGGCTGCTCTGTGGAGCTGAGAATTCGCACCAAACAAGCCACACCTCCGAGGCTGCTGCAGACCGTCGGTTCCCCCGAGGGTGACCGAGTGCAGGTTTTCCTGGGCGTGTGCAGGGAGGCGGCTCAGAGAGCTGACGTCCTCTCCCGCTGTGTTCCGTGTTCCCTGGGCCCGCTTGCATGTTCAGCTCCAGCAGCTGGAGGCTGGGCTGTGGGCGCCAGGACACCCCGACTCTTCTCCCCCGTCATTGTTTATCTGTGTTAGGAATCAGAGTTCGGAGAAGTGGGCTGTCAGGCCCTAACTGGTCCCTAAATCTGATGGCCGCGGCAGCCTGTGCTGGGCAGACCCTGGGCTGTCCTCCCCCTGGGTCCCGTCACCCTTCCGCAGACATTTATGAGGCACGCGCTGTCCATGTGTTAGTTCTGGGCCACAGCGGTGTGTGAAATGGGTGTGGTTCCTGCCCGCTGGTTACCTGCTATCCATCACGCCGCCTGTCCCTGGTTGGTTCTGTCTCAGTCGTGGGTGTTGGCCCGGCTGGCTTAGTGGGTGTTACGTGGGGACTCTCCACAGCGGATGGTTGTAGGGGCTCAGGTTTGTCTGGTGGGGAACTCGGCTCCCGGCCGGAGCTCTGGCCGGGCGTGGCTGCTCCCTGTGGTCTCCCTAGCGCCCGGGGCTCCCTAGCATGGCAGCTGTGCGTGTTCCGAGAGAGGGAGCCAGGCAGAAGCCGCGTCACCGTTTATGATCCAGTCCCAGAGTCACACAGTGTCACTGCTGCCCCCACCCCTCTTTTCATTTATCGTTATCGTTGGAAATATCACAGATGCCCCTTTTCTTCCCCCATTGACCCCTCCTCCCCACTTCCTCCCCTCCCCAAGCCTTCACCCCACTGTCCTACCGTCTATATTGACGCAATCACAGACGTCTGCCTGGCAGCAAGGTGGGGGGACACAGACCCACCTCTAGACGGGGGAGTGGCCAGGTCTCACTGTGAGACAGCTGGTGGGATGGCAGGTATCATCTGCCAAGTGCCCTCAAGAAGCTTCTGGTCTCTTGGGAAGACAGAAGACAAATGACTAAGGAAACAATTGAGATGAAGGCGGGGAAGCAAATCACGTGACTTTAGATTGGGAACTTTTCTCTTTGGGGCTGTCGCCCCTCCTTGCAGGACCTCAGTGTCCTCACGTGAAAAGGGGTTGAGGCTCCACCTGATACTCACCACCTCCCTGCCCCGGAGGTGAGAAGGGGGGACACAGTCAGGTACCTTCTGTGCCGTCTCCCTGTCTCCCTTAGAGCTGGTGCCAACGGACCTGAAGGATGGGAGAGGCCAGCCCCTGCCTCTCTCCTGTGCTTCCAGCAGCAGGTCCTGTCGCCTGTCCTCAGAGAGGGCAGTCCGCCAAGCCCTGAGGTGGCCAGGGCCAGACGAGGCCTGGGTGGGAGCTGGCAGTACTCGGCTTCTCCGGGCGCCCTTGCTGAGTCACCCCGCCGGCCCGCCCTTTGCGTGACTCAGACTCAGTCTATTCTGGCCCTGGTCTCCTGCCAGGGCTGCTCCTGTCCCCCCCGGCGGCTGGCTGTGCATGGCTGACCAGGCTGCTGCTTGTCCCCGGCCTTCGCTCCTTTTATCTGGCTGGCTCCTTTTATGAGGCTGCTGCTTAGGGGTGGAGGGAGGGGGCGGTTTCCATTTGCAGTTGGGGACATCGTGGTCAGACGAGGTCACGTGGCAGACCCCTCACTTCTCAGAGTTTCGGCGTCCCAGGTGCTCATTGGACCTTGAGAGCTTGTTTGGAGGTTCTAGCAGGGGAGCGCAGCTACTCGTATACCCTTGACCAAAGACCGGTCCTCTCCTCTTGGGGGAAAGTCCTCTTTGACCGAGCACGCAGCTTCGGGAGGGACGCACATGGATCGGTGAGGGAGGAGGGGAACACCCGCCTAGCCAGCCAGATCAGCCGAATCAACCCTGGCGATCAATGGGGTGACAGATGTCGCAGCCAGATCGCCCTCACATCCCCAGGTTCTCATTGGAAATGCAGCGTTTCAGGCATCCTGAGCCGGCTGACTTAGTCTCATTTAACAAGATTCCCGGGGCACGGTTGAACGCACTGGAGCACCTCAGCTAAGGACCTCTCAGCTCATTCTACCGCGAACATTTCACACTTAGTTGAAAGACTCGCACAGAGAGAACTCATCTAACCACCGACTAGAAGCCACCGTTAACATTTTGCTAACCTTGTTTTATCACATAGCTAGCCAGCCAACCAGTCAACCCATTAACTTATTTTTTTTTTTTATATCTGGAACGTCCTTTGAAATACAGTAGTATTCTTCCCCCAAACACTTCACCGTGCAAGTCCTCAGCTAGAGTTCACTATCCGTGTATAGCTTTTTGTCCTTAAAATTTACATACAGTGACATTGCTGAGTCTTACTGCCAATCAGTGAGTTTTTGATAAATGAATAACTGAGGCCTCTCAAGATACAGAGCATTACCTGTTCTCCAGAAAGTTCCCTCCTGCTCCTCCATGGTTTGTCTCTACCACTCACATCCCAGAGGCAACTGCTGAGTTTAGACTGTTTATAAGCGCATCGTAAACACCATTTTAAATTCCTTTCTCCGTTACGCTTGTGGTCACTTAGTAATTCAGCACTGCGCCGCTGCTGAGCTGGCTCTGGGTCCCTAGAGATGAGCAGACGTTGACTACTGCTCTTGAGCGGTGGAGGGGGGCAGCCGGCTGAGGAGCCAGCAGCTGCAGGATGGATGGGGTGGTGGTGCTGGGGCTGCAGGGCCAGCCAGCATCCAGGGACGCAGACGCCTGAGTCAGAGAGAGGAGAGGCCTGGCCAGGCCAGTGCCGCTGAAGGCTGGAGGGGGCACAGGAAAGCGGTCCTGGTGGAGGAGCCGGCGTGTGCAAAGGCCTGGCAACGTGATGGAACATGGGAGGGAGCGGGAACTGTGAATCCTGCTTGGCTGGGAGGGACGGGCCAGGGAGCTGAGCACTGAAGATCACGGTGGAATAGTGTGTCACTGTAAGGCCTGGGAATCCTGATCTGCCGGAAGGCTTTTTAGTGGGGGAGTGACACAATGGGTGGGGGCGTTCAGAGGACCCCTTCCCCCACTGAAGACTTAGGAAGTCACAGTAGGAACCCTGGCAGGTAG